ATAAGAAGCAAAAAGTGGAGTTGGAGTGTATATCAGAAACTTGACGCTCTAAGAGCGTGAAGTCAGGCTAGCCATTTTCGAAAATTGAGTAAATTAGGACATTATATGGGTGCGCAGATACGCGAAGGGGTGAAAGATTTTCAACACCAGAAGATAAAATTTGTAAGAAACCATATAATATTCTGCCTATCATATGATTTTATATGAAAGTAAGTTATGGCGTAGAATGTTTTCTACTTCCAATATATAGTGAAAGCACGAATGCGTTAGTTTCACTAGTTCAGTTCGAAATTCTAATTGTTTATTTGCGCGTTGCGATATTCTTTTCTGACGGCTTGGCGCAGCGACGTCAAAAAACTAGAAATGTCGATTCTTCGCGGCTATAATGCCACTGGATTTGCGACGCTTTTCCGTAGCAAATTAATAATTATGTAAATTTGGTAAATTCTACAACAATACTGAAAAGAATACATTACATTCTTTCGAGGTTTCAAGACTGCACTAATAAGATTACGAAACTGGAGTATTAAATGACTTTTACGCTCATTCAATCTATGTCGCCAAGCGCGCTTTCCTCGAAACCTTAGACCATTTGATTTCAGAACGCCAAGCACAGATTAATGTGGTTTGCATGTAGATTCACGGCGAATTTTTAGGAGAGCATCATGCGAGTATACCAATGTTAACCTGGCATAGGCTGAACGCAAATTACTCTCACTATTGTTCTGCTGTAAAAGATTCAATCCAGGTTGTCCTTCCTCAGGGCCAGGATAAATGGATCTATCAACGAATCTGGTGATGTCGAGGGTCATGGGATCTTAGCGACGGCAGTCTTCGTTCGATCGTATTTTTTGCATTAAAAGAATTGTGTCTGCAATTTCTGATATTAGCAATCCTTTTTGGGAATAGGCGAAGGTATGAGTGAGGCTATCCGAGTTTGTCGCCTTGACATTGCAGGAAATTTGGGTCAAGATGGCGGTGCGCATGCGTTGTAACGTGCAAACATAAACAAAATGGCTTCCATTTTGTATAAGGAAATGTATGGCCAAGAATATTTTTCAGTATTTGTTCACAAAACAAATCATTATGTACTCCTGTACGGTAAGTGCGCGACTTCGAGTCAACATTACAGTGTTTAAGCTGTCTAAATTGCCAGAAAAAACGCTGAATCGCTTGAAGACTCTAAACTTTGCACATACATGGCACGTACATGAACCGCCATTTTGTTTTCCAGCTTTGAGTCGGAAATTATTGAATGAACAAACACTCTCACGGAAGCCTTCTTGATCCACCATTTCACTGAATGCCAACAACCAGTGCCTTCTAGGATTGCACACAGGGCTTGCAATCATTTTTAAGTTCAAGTGCTTGTTTTTAAGTTTTTTTTACCGTACAAAATTATAAAAATTAGTTGAATTTCGCGTTATTGGACATTAAGGGTCCCTTTATAGAAAAGAACTTTCTAATTCTGCTATTCTAAAATATATATCACAATAATAATGCAATTGTACAACGAAAATGAAACGTTTTGATTTTTTTTGTATTTTACGTATAAAATCGTCAATATCTGAGCCCAAAAAACCGCTGGTCAATGACCCAGATTTCTGGCAATTATAGACTTTTTAAAATTGTGAAAGCTGAGAGATACAAAGGGAAAACTAATATCAGTAAAAAAATTCAATTTTACATTAAATCATATTAATCCACATTTACTTACATACCAAAATTATACTATCATACCTCTATCTTGCTATGCTTCAGGTACAACACCCCTAGATTGGTCCAGGCTACTGGATTCTGAAAAAAACCCAGTAATGTATCACCTTATAGGTAAAACTGTGCATTGGAAGTATTTGATGCTAAGGAGCAAGAGGGGTTAAACAGGCCGAGACTATAAAAGAGTGCTGCGATGGTCACTAGGGAATAGAACAAAATGAATAAAATGCATTCGCTTTCAAAAATAGAAAAAGAAAATGAATCTCAAAATAGCATTGGAAACCAATGGAAAAGTACTCACATTGGGTTCAGCTTTGATAGACATGATGAATGCATGTTGACTCAGATAAGGATTGYTTACCACTAGAATACAAAAATGATTAAAAAATATATCAATAAAGACAAAGCTGAGAGAAACAAAACCGAACAAATTCTTCAAAAAAGAACGCCAGAGTTTTTTTCAAGGGTTTTCAAACATTATCATGACATATAGCATCGAATATAGCAAAGACTAAAGGTCGTTATAGAGTTTAGAAATATAATGGGAAGTTCGAAATAGGATTAAACAGCCAACTCTTTGGGATTGGTAAGTGAGTAAACGAGTCACAAGTGAGCAAGAGTATCAGCGCTCCAGTCATCTGTCCCGATAATCGATTTTTAGACAACCAATCACAACTCGCGCATTTGTAACACGGCAACTGATTGGTCCTTTTTGATACTACTTCAAGAGACAAGAAAAGAAAATTTAGTCGTYGAAGGCGAAAGAAGTGAAGTGTGCATTAACAATAATTTTATACCTTTTAACACCTATAGGTTATAAGCTTATCGAAGTTTATATGCACTCAAAAAACTTACAAGAAACAGGAAAGTTTATGCATAATACTCATAACTAGTTGYTTCTAAGTTTTCGGATAAATATTTGGTTAAATAGATATTCTAGTTTTAGTAATTTCCGAAGGTCGTCCGAAGACTCATGAATAATTTAAGTCAAAAAAGAATATATCCCAAATACATTACAAAACGATTAAAAATGTCGGGCTTGTGATATGGACTATGTCATCCTGCAATTGTTTGATAACAATGCATTTTAATTTTGCTGCAGTACGATTAAAATTTTGGTGCGCATTCTACAACAAATTGTCCTTTATTTCTTGTTTTTTATAGCTCTTCAATCTTGTTCAATAACTGACTTTATAGTACCAAAASGCTGAATGAATTGGGTGTAGAAGACAAAACTTTAATTGAATACTTGCCGGATGAGTGAAATGAGATACTCTATAGCAATGCGATGGGGCAGGAGAAGTTGGAAGTTATAGAGACTTTTAAATTCAAGTTTACAGAGAAACGTCAAAAATAACACGTGATAATCTGTTTTTTAATGTTTGTATATAAATTCGATTGTTTTATCGCGTGCGTGACTATTCCTTTCGAAGAGTTTTTATGTTTGTTTGACAAAGCTCAAAAGTCAATTTAACGTTAATTTAGCGTTCTCCGTCAACCTGAATCTAAATATCCCTATTGACTCTTGTATTTCGCCCGCCTTTACGGCTGGATGATTCGTTTAAATTATTAATTAAAATGTAAACCGTCACCTGGCGAGGCACAAACAACCCCTAAAGTATTCCATAGAGTGTGATTGGTTCGATCGAGTGACAAGCCCTTCTTTAACACCTGCAAATACATAGTGAATTTTGCTTATTTGTTTCTTAATTTGATATCGTWTCATTTTATTTGACGTAAGAGAAGCCATCTTGGATGAAATAAAATGCCGCGAATCTTAGAATGTAAAATATTCTATTCTTCTTTACATCCAAGACGATTGCTGTTACTGTAATATTGCACTGTACCTGCAAACATCGATCTGACATTTTTTTCCGTTGCTCCCCATTTTCAATCTTAAATACAAATCATATCATATCATTYTTACATGCATGTAGACATGGCAAAAATGTAATGTATAAGTAAACAAAACTAAATTCCTTCAAGGTCCTTAACAAGTTGAGCCAGTATTAAAGAAATACCTTTGCCTGCAGATAGTAACTCAGCCCAAGATCGTTCCAAAGACTTGAACACTGGGGTTGTGATTTCAATGCCTTTCCATATGCACTGAAATCAACAAGAAAACTCAACTCTTAAAGTGCTAGTCTTATCAAAAAATTAAAATTCTTGAAATTTTCACAGAATAAAACATAAATACCAAATAGTATTCTGGCCGTTTTTTATGTCTATACGTCAACGAAAAGATATCTTTTTGAACCGATGAATTTCGCGTTTTCTGATACGCCATTATTTGAGAGCGTGCATAGGCCGCCCAACCATTGCTTGAGTAGGATAATACACTTTTCGAGGAATTGGTTCTCCCGAAATCTTGTAGCTAGACGTTTACGAATATAAATTCTTACTCTTTTTTACAGACTTGTTTTACGTAAAATGGCGACAGCACGCAAGTACTCCAACTTTCGACGACAAACTACAAAAGTACTTTCGTTTTTTACTTTCGTACTTTGCGAAATAGAATAATCTAGAAACTACAGAGAATACTCCTAGTTGTTATGCTGGCGTGGCTGCTATGCTTTTGATACCTTGTTGCTAAAGAAAGCAATTTTCGTTTTTCTGTTGGTTCATTTGGAACACCAGTAGCAGCACTCTGCAGGATTTCCGAGAGATCSACACTAAATATTAACACATAAATTAAGTCAAAAAATATACTCAATGAGCTGTTTAAATCATGTACCGGAAATAACCTCAACGCCACTACCATTCCTTTACTTTTATGACCTAGACTTTAATTAATGATCTACGCTTTTTTTAAGTTATACATTCCTAAACATACCATTCAACCTTTCATCCTGACAACACAAATCAAAACAATTAGAGAAAAGAAATAAAGAAAAAAAATACACAATAAAATGAGTGAATGATTAGACATTTTAATTAAAATTACAATAGAAATGACGTACCTGACCATGTAATCGGGTAAAGGATCCACTACAACGCAGCAATCACCGATCAACTTCCATAAACACGACATGTTTGGTCTTGATTCAACTGCTCTATAAACATTAATAATGAAAACAATGTTGAATAAAAACAACAACAACAACGAACTTCGCAATTTAAGTAATGCACCGAGTAAGAACTAGGGAAGCAAACGGCAAAGGAATGCAAGAAGGTGCTAATTGTTGCAATGCCGCAGAACAATAGAGAGTTCCCTAGTTCTTAAGCGCATTGTTACTTAAACAAGAAATATTTAAAAAAAGTAAACTCTCATTGTTGTTCTTTTTACTAAATTTTTCCTTTATACACTGCAATAGACCTAATCGACTAACGCGTTTGCCATGTACGTTAGCACCCAAATCAAATCCCGTGGGAAAACGTGCTCTTGTTTCTAATGATTCATCTGTGAAATCGAAATAGAACGAGCAATCAAACTTACTCCCGGATGGTTTGAATTGGGTAGAAACGTTTATAGCAATGCATTAGATACTGAGTTCGGCATTTTTGCTTCAATACTCTTATGCAAATGAAGATGCAAAACAAACAAAACAAAAAATCAAGCCGCCAATGGCGACACAACTCGAAGACATAAATGGATATAAATCTGTATGAAGCCTCAGACTTTTTTCAGATATGGTCTAATTTCGACAAAAAATCTACAAAATGAAAATACTGAGCTTGAAATTTTGAATATAATATTTCATATGCATCCGTGTAAACACCTTAAAACATATCGACAATGAATTATCAACACCATCACAATTTCTTAGTTTGAAGTGATGATACCTTTGAATGCTGACCGTTAAAATTTATATTTTGAGTTCTTAGTTGTTGTAGTGTCGTCCATGCATCCATTTTTTACGCTCGTGAGAAGGATAAAGTTCAGTTGATATGAATCGATGAGCATTTTAATTTTAATTTAATTTTAATTTAATTTTAATTTAATTTTAATTTTAATTTTAAAAATACTAATCGACGTGGATCGGAATTATCCTTGAAATCATCGTAATAGAATGCTGTATCTATGAGCCATACTGTCACGATATCACCTAAAACGACTTCTGAAATCAACAGATTCTTATACAAGAACTTCCAGACCTCAAAAATCACATTTTGTGTGTTTAAAAAGCCATTTCTGTTGCGGATTTCTAAATGCCCGTATGTTTACAGAAAAAAATTAGTGACTTATTAACTAGTCCCTCACACCCATCATCTATCTCCCTCCTATAATTCTTCGATTGYTTCGCAATCTTCGAGTTAAAAAACGACACCGCTATTGAAGTTCAAATGACAAAAAGGGTAAAAGAACAACAATGAGAGTCATTCCTAAGTCCTTTGAGAACTCAGCGAAAGAAAATTCTTATGTAAATTAAGAAATGTCGCAATCTCCGCCAGCAATATTCCAAACCCCTTCCTAGAAAAGACTGTGAACCTCATCATTCCAGCGAAACAAACCTCGACAGGGCGGCAAGCCCTTTGTTCACGTGATCAACAGCACGCTTGTTGAAGTCCTCTTTAATAGCTGAACGAGCGAGACAGAGGTGTGTCTCACCATACCCTGCACAGAATAAAAAAAGAGATTATTGATTGGAYATTATTTAGCGGCATCAAGACGTTCTTCATCACCGATCAACCAGTCTGCCCAGGCTCGGCCTCATGGGCTCTCAGCTCGTAGTGCACTCGCCCTCGAGAGATCTAATTGTTTTAGCATTACCATACTAGTTGGACAAAAAAAAAATGAATGAAATAAATATAACTAAAATGTGTAATTCTAGTTTAGTGAGTTGAGTGTTTTGACTTCGTTACTCTTGATCATATTAGTTTGGCGAGTGCTTTTTTTATAGCACGTGCTTTTTTTGCTTTTGCCGCGCGCGCTTTTGACCTTTATGCGCGGATTTGGCAGGTTGTGTGCGCGCTTTTTATGAGCGCGCATTTCTTAAGGCTGGTTTACACGGCACTAGTCTCTCGTGCGATTTGTTGTGTGCCTTTTTCTTCAATTTATTTATATATATGATCACTTAAATGGTATATTAACCTTTCAAAGCTGGGACATATCCTGGTTGTCGATCAAGAATTAGTTGATATTCCTCAAGAGCTTCTTGATAAACGCACAGCGACTGCTTGATAGCAGCGATTCTATGGCAAAACAAAAATAACTGAATAAGCTAATAAAGTGTTTCGCAGTTTCTCGTTTTATAGCAAAGCTGGACAGTAGAGTTCAATAAAATACATTATCCCCTTAAAATATCGCKATTTTTGTGTATGCGTATATATTCCAGTCCCAGAGCCTTTTATAGCCGACACCTTTGAACTGTTGGTCGCAAGGAAAAAGATTTTTATTGCGTTTGCACAGAATCATTCAATGAGAAACAGGAATTACAGGCATTATTTGTTGCACGAACCTTAACTCGTAAAAAACAACTATGCGCTATTCTTTTGTAGTATAGTGAATAACAGCATTTGTTTGAAGGGGTAAACGCGCTCATTCAACTCAAAATCGATATGTTTACAAAGTTCCAGTATGCAAAATTGTGAAGATCCGCATCATTCACAAATATGTACGCAAATATATATATAAATATGAACTAAAGTCCAATCTAGCGCCCAATTTTAGCTTAGCTACCTCAACACATCTCATGTAGTGTAATCCAACGCATGCGCATGCAAGTTTTTCTAGACCCTTTTCCCGCGACGAACAGTTCAACGGAGCGGACTGAASGGGGTTTGGGACTGAACTAGGGAATATACTTTAGACCCGACGTTGTCACAGGAAGTCTAGTATCTCTATCAGCGAGTTGTCATGGAATCCTAGTATCTCTATCAGCGAGTTGTCACGGAATCCTAGTATCTCTATCAGCGAGTTGTCATGGAATCCTAGTATCTCTATCAGCGAGTTGTCACGGAATCCTAGTATCTCTATCAGCGAGTTGTCACGGAATCCTAGTATTTCTTTTTTTTTCAGTAAAAACAGCGAGTTGTCATGGAAGCCTAGTATCTCTATCAATTAAAAGAGCGAGACTTACTGGTAAAGACTGTATAACGAACTGGTTTCGAGCTGCAAAGAAGACAAAATAATTAAAAGTTTCACTAATAGTAATTAATGTAAAACCAGTACCTCGTCTAAACAACAGTAATCTTACCTCAGAAGAACGGGTGAAGGCTTTGAGTGCTGCAGTGAAGCTACCACGACTCATATAGGACTCACCAAGACATTCCCAACATTGACTGAAATAGAATAAGGTGTTTGAATCAGTTCTTTTTAGAAATGTGTGGGTCTATTTTTTTCAGTGAAACGATATGAACGATATTCCTTAAAACTAATGTCCGGTTGAGCAATAAACTAATGCTGATAAAGAGAAGCTAACTTGACCCGATAAAGGTCAAAATACAATACAGTTTCAAATGCAATAATTGTAAGAGCTCTCTATATTACCATTAGTTATTATCTACTATGGTTACTACTGCATGATTGCAGAAGAGAAAACAACGTCCATATAGTACCTGTCCTTGGGGTCGCCTCGCAGAGCACTTTGAAAACTACAATAAATAAAAATATTAAACCACAGATATGATCTGTACAACTGTACGAAAATAGTCGGGGGGAAATGTCGAGAAAATTTCTATTTATGACATATTTTTTTTTTTGTTTAGAAATTTGGTGGATACGAGTTAAAGTGTCTATGATGCTATGGCGCCTGAAACAAATTMTGATTTTCTGTGAGCTGATTCTATATAAAACAAATAATTAAATGGTGAAATATTCCTGCATTTCAGTGTTGCGTCTTTGAGTTATGAAGGTTCAATCTTACAATATGTTCATGAAGGAGTCGCTTAAAAATGGTTTCATGGCATTAAATTTATCATATGCAATGTAGGGGAAAAAACACATTCACAGATGGCGTTCATGAAAACATTTTTGAGCAACTGTTTCAAAGTTCGTATATCTAATGAAGCCTCCCTTGACGCCATTATCATTAGCATATTGGAAGATTAAACCTTCAAGACGCAACACTGAAATGCAGAAATATTTGACCATCCAATTATTTACTTTATATAGAGAAGCTCACAGAGAATCAGATTTTTTTTGTCATGCAGTCGTCATAGGCACTTTAAATGTGTAAGGAAATATGATGACGTCGTAGTGAAACAACAATCTAAGTGATTAATAACAATTACTATATACATGATTCACAACCTCATAAGAACGCGCGCTCTCATTGGCTGGCTATCTCGGAATATGAGACCATATTGGCTGATCAATCTCAGAATATTGATTCTCGGCAAAATGGCATCTCGTTTTTCAAAAAAATTACTGATGAAGAAAGTGAAAAAATGCAATTCCACTCAACACAAAGAAAGCTACACAATTTGGGTTAAGTGTTTTTCTCGTTAAAAAGGCATTTTTAACATGAAAAAGTATTTCAATTCACAGAAAAAGCGTTGTTGTTGTTGCGAGTTATCTATTTTGAGAGTAATTTGCTCAGGAAATTTTAATTTAACTTTTTAACTGAAATAGTTGACTTGGAACAGGATAATTAAACAAGTGTCCGAATAAAATTCTACTTACCCGCAAGGGGGAATTCTACAACAAAGCCACACTTACCTCAATTCGCTCGGCCATTGAGCGATTTCTACGCGGCGAAAACAAAGTCGTTATCCATCATTAGTAGCCCACAATTCACAGAAGCACAAGAAGCCTTGATTTTATTCCAAACAAAACCTTGAAATAACTCAGCAAGACAGGAAAAATACGTCCAATCAACACAAAACGCTGCTTACAAGAAAGGTTCGCCAAGTTGTACGAAGCCGGCGAGCTAAACAGCTAAACATCCGACCAAGCGAAACTCMAACAAACTCTTTCTTTACAATTCACTTTTTCCGATGTTTGGGGTTAAACTTTTGGTATTGCCAGATAATCTTGAATTTTGCATCGAAAATGCTACAATTGTAAGGTACTTGCAGTGTTTGTAGACTTTGCTTATAATCAACTACTTTGACCTAAAAACGTAGGCGTTCGTGCGACTTGTCACGCATTCTAATTTATAAAAACAAATTCGTTTCTTTATTCTATTATTCTTTTTTGTTCGGTTGTGAATCACGTATATACGATCGCCGGTCGGTAAATATTCATTGATAATCACTTCGCCCTCGGCGAATAATTGTTAAATGTACCACCCAAAAACATTTTTGACTTCAACGGGAATCGAACACATGATTTCTGCAGTATCGGTGCAGTGCTCTACCAACTGAGCTATGAAGTCAACTATGTTGGCGAGCAGTCATTATATTGGGTGATACCATACATAGATGGTAATACATGAATTGTAATAGTAATACATTTACTAATAGACTAATAGTAATACATTTACTAATAGACTATTCTTAGATTATTCTTTCACGCGACGCTCACGTTTCCTTGCACATTTATTCACCGTAGTTCAAACCAGCATTTCAACAAAAAATGTTAAGTCGATCTCGTGAACTTCGAGGCTATCAACCCGTTGTGCACTCAACAATGTACAGTCTGTACGTAGTAGAGTAATAGTTACTACTGCGTACTTCCAGGCTTTTTCCAGCAAAATGCAAGTAATAAAATACTAAACCTCTCTATTGGCTAGCACTCACCACGTGATAGCCTCGTTACTGTGATCATTTTTTAAATAGTACAACCCAAGTCGTATCCATGCCCACTTGGCCTTCCCTGGAAGAGCTCTACTGGTAACATCACTRAAGAGCTTTAAAGCATCGTCCTAGAAGCAACAAGATATCACTCTATTTGAACACTAATGGTCACCACTAACATTTTGAGCTTCAAGTAAAAGAATTAAAACGGCACTTGCTGGTTCTAGTCCAGTCCCAGGCCTTTTTTACCCCGCTTCGTTGAATTGTTGACCGCAGGAAAACGGGGTCAGAAAATCTTGCATGCGCATGCATTGAGAAACTAAGAAACGGCCTTGAATTACAGGAATTAATTGTTGCATGAACCGGATATATAGACTGTCTAGATCCATCCGTCCTTATCTATGTTGCGAAATTAAGTTCCAAACGGTCAAATAACATGAYACGGTGTTTTGTTTTCATTCTACTACGAATCTGGTCCTTAAATGGAAAATAATATGTAGTCAATATCGGCCACCGGCCAATGCACATTTATACCTACGGCAAAAACAGAGCAGTTCGTAGTAGGGACATGCGCTCCATGAGCGCCTTTAATTTTCTCTTGCTGGAGATTGTTCTGGTGCTTCTCAAAGCTCGTTTCTTTCCATTTTGGATGTTCGTTGAAATAGATGGTGGATTAGAAATATAGTTTGGGGATTCAGCTTTCAAAGGATTATTGGTATTTTTTTTTTTTTGCTGTGAACTGTAGAGAGCCATTGAGAGCCATTCTTTTCTTTCACTACCGTACAGGTTATGTACTTGCCGCAAATGATCACTAATGAACTGTAGATCAGGCTTGTACCAAACAGGACAACTTCTTCTGTATTTGTAAGGTATGTTAACCGTTTGAGGAGCAAGCATCAAATGATGGTTCTTGCTGATTTCCCCTGCCTTTTACTAAATGCCTCGTGTTTTCTGGTAACTAGTTTATCTTGTTTACTAGTATACGCAGAATCTATTAAAAACTCACTTCAAAATTTCTTTTAAAAAGTTCTTCTTAAATCTTCCTTCAATTCGGGCTTAACAGATATTTAAATCTGTACATTTACAAATAGCTGTTTAACACTTTTGGTAGCTTTGGAACTTTTGAATATCTTTAAATACGTTAAAACAATGCAYAGAAAGTGCGCTATAGACCTGGACTAATTACCTCAATTACTTGTGACCATATACATGTACACCTGTGCTGTACGCGCAAATCTGCTTAGTTAATGACAATTCCCAATCGTAAATGAAGTGCGATTTTCATCAACCATTTTACACATGCAAGCTACGCAGGAAGTCAAAACGTATATCAATGGACAGAGTACGATGGCATATAGATTGAGCTCATAACTACGTTTCTCTTACTTCTTTATCAAGCTTGGTAAGCAAGTCTCCCAAATAACAGCCTGCTTCATCATTCTTGTCATCAAGATCAAATGCTTTCTGATAGCAACGGCATGCCTTACTAAAGTTCATGAATACATAAAAAAAATAATTATCATATGCCCGTATCTATCCCCGCTCGTGTAAAACACTGGAAAACGATGGTAATTTGTAAGTGCGCTCGGACCATACGGTACGACCTTCTACAGTCAATAAGTGCACAAAATGTACCAAAGAAAAGCTTGAAGACAAATAATAAGCTTAGGACAACACATGAACAAATCTGGATATGACAGTGAGGATCATTTAACAAAATCTGTATACAGCTATCTCAAAAAACGTTGTCGGAAGAACGGCAAACAGCGATTGTCGAACAGAGATTTCACGGCCAAAAGGGACTTGGTTATACTGTTTTGATAAACAAAATTTCACTTATTGGATTCACCTTGTATAGAAATGGAGACTAAATGGACCCAATGTTTACCACAGATCACCTTACAGTATAAATCAGTTGTTATTGCCTTTCAACTAGCAAAACTCACGGCTACTTTCGGACGTGCAATCGCCGTCCGACCATTGACATTCGCCACACTTTATTCGACAACCTTTTTTGAAATAGTTATATAAAGTAGTCAATTCCAGGCAAGTTACTACTTAATATAATGTGGTAACAACCTACATCTCACCAAACATTTTTTCGAATAACACACCTAATTCCTTTCAATTTACCAAATTCGTTTTCTCTCGAAGATCTGATTGTACAGCAACAAACACATAGAGAAGCGTCGTACGATTTCCATATATGGTTGTGCATGTAGGGCGCTGATGTGCACATAGAAGCCTCTCATGTCCCAATTATGTAGAGAAGAATTTTCAAAGACTTCAACTTAAACTGAAAAGAATTTTTTGAGGGACGCGTACTAAGATTCGAACCAGCGCTATGCATTGTCTAACCGGATAGTCCCTAAACCTAACCATTAAGCCATGCGACCAATTCGCTTTAGTGAACCTGAATTGTTGTGATATTTATGCAGCGGCATGCATGAATAACCACGCTTATTATATGACTTATATAGTACGCGCGCCCTGATTGGCTGGAAACTGGTCCGTGAAGTGTTGTTTATAGAACGAGAGTGCGTATTTTATGTATAGTTTAAAACACGAGAGAGAGTGTTTTATCAGGTATAAATTTTATACCTGATAAAACACGATCTCGAGTGTTTTAAACGGCTTAAAAAACTCCAACACTAATTTGAAACTCAAATCCGTTAAAATTCTTGGAGAAATTGCCGTACAAATATGTTCAGAGATAAATTGGGCAAACTGATCATGCGCGAATCACTTTACAAAGCACTCTTGTCATCCCACATTGAATACGCATAAAGTAAAATAGAACCGCTCTTGGCTGTTCACTGAAATTGGTTGACATCCTGCATTGGTCAATGATCAGGTTTCAAACCTGAGACCTTTGCTAGGGTCATGGACCTTTATATCTGATAAAGGTCACCCTTATTAGTATTCTTTATATAAAGAATACTAATAAGGAGTGTTTTATCAGATATAAAGGTCCATGCATGTGACCAAATAGGCTCATTCTATTGGCCTAGTAGCTCATTAATTATGTATGAGTTTTTTAA